TTTAATGTGTTAAACTGATTTTAACCCCTCCCTTGCAAATCCTTGTTTTATGCTTTCTTTAAAGTTGAACTCCTCAGGAAGGAGAAAGGAATTGATGTTTATTGAGCACCTGCCACTGATTACCTGACTCTGTGCATTGCATTCATTACAAAAGTAATGTGATCCCTATTAATGACTCTATAGAAATATTAATTTGAGGTCCAAAAAAGAGCAGTAACACAGATAAGGTTACAATTAAGGACAAGAGCCAGGTATTTTTTTTTTTTAAATATATATTTATTTATGCATACAAGAACTGGGGTGTAGGCCAGTTGGTGGGGGAGGGGTGTTGAAAAGATTAACCAGAGATAGAGTGGGGAACAGAACAGATAGCTCTACTGAAATACACTGCTGAGGGTAGCAGCAGGCAGACAGGAGAGGTTCGCCATGTGGGTGTCTCCCTGGCCAGGATTGAACTCTTGCCACAGTGGCTGGCAATAGCTTCATAGGCCTGACACTTAAAAAAATGGCTGGCCCTCCCTTATGGCACAGGAGTTGACTCCCAAATCTCTATTTTCTACTGAACCAGAAGTTGTCAAATTGCGGCTAAATTCTAAACCCCCTTAGAGGCCAGGGGGAGTGCGGGTGTCCTCCATCTGACCTCAGAACAGCTTCTTGAACGATGAGTATTCTCCTTCATAAAAAGGGAGCTTCTAGTTAAAACAAGTCCAAACAAATCTTTTAAGTATCATTACGTTACGTGAAGATGCCATTTTTATTCCATATTATTTAATAGTTTTGGAATACCTGTAATCCTGAACATGATTACTAGCAGGGAATTAAGAGACTGTGGTTAAAAATCGCTTTTTCACTAATTAGCAAGCTTAACTGCTATACCTACTAGAGGAAAGTCCTGGAAATCTAAAACATTGGTAAGAAAGAACTGCTGCATTGTACATGATGAGACCCCACCCCCTTTAGGTGTTAATGTTTAGGTATATCTCATCCATATGAGTAGAAAACATATTAGAAGCAGTGACCATTGCCCTCAAGATGTTTGTATTCATGGTGATTTTTATAATTATTCGTGTTTTTTCTCTGCTGATGACATTTCTCAATGAACTTGTGTTATTTTTGTAATTAGATTAAAAGGGCTATTTTAAGACAGGTCTACAATGCCATGATATAGTTCTAAAGTTTAGATATTTGCATGAACTCTTAGTGATCCCCTTTTCAGTTTTGAAGAGAATGTATCCGTGGTTAGAAATTATATTGTTTACTTTTATCATTAAAATTGAGTTCCAATAGGGTGGTTCCAGGAAAAGGGGAGGTTCCAGGTTCCCTGCCCCACCCAAGGGAGGGTGGAGCTTGAGCAGGGAGGAAAAGAAGCTGGAGGGAGACTGGAGAAATAAGGAAGAAGGATGGAGAGTAAGGAGACCTGGAGGAGGCACATGGAGCAGAGAGACATGTGAAGAAGCTGCACTTGCTTTTTGGTCCTGGACTGGTTGAAACAGATGTGGGTAGAGACCTGTGGGGAGGTTAACAATGGCAGTGTTGATCTTGATTTTGATTTTGCTCTTTTCCTTCCAGACTTGTCTGGCTGTTTCTGACCCTTTTCTATGGGTAACACTACAAGAAAGGTAAAATTGCAATAAAGCAAGTCACTTTTTTGATTTCCTGGTGCATATAAAAGTTGTTTACACTGTACTGTAGTCTATTTAGTATGCAATAGCATTATGTCTGAAAACAACATACACAATCAAATTAAATATGAAGGGGCCTCCCCGGTGGTACAGCGATTGAGCATTGGGTTGCGAAGCTGCCTGCAGCCTCTGCAGTGCCGGTTCGATCCCCAGCCACCAGGCGAGGGTCCCACATGGTGCACAGACCTCTCCTGCCGCCTGCTGCTCCCCTCAACAGTGTACTTTGTCAGTCTGCCTGCTCTGCTCTCCCCTCTGGCTCTGGTGAATTCTCTCATCCTCCTGCACTTCTGACTGTACCCAGTGCTGGTATAAATAAATAAATAAATCTTTAAAAAAAATAAATAAAGCAGCGGTTCCTATATTAAAAAAAAATAAATATGAAGGAGACATGATGTGAGCATATACTTTTGGAAAAATACTGCTGTCAGCCTTGCTTGAGTCAGAGTTGCCACACACCTTCAGTTTGTAAAAAGCAGTATCTGAGAGGTGCAATAAAGCAAAGCACAACTGGGCCTCCCTGGTGGCACAAGGGGTTAAGCACTGCACTATGAAGCAATCCTCACCCTCTGCAGCATGAGTCTGATCCCCAGCCAGCCAGGGAGCAACCCACATGGCACAGCAGACCTCTCCTGACTTGCCCGCTGCTCCCCTCAGCAGTGTACTTCGATCAATTTGCCTGTTCTGTTCCCCACTCTGTCTCTGGTGAGTGGTCTCACTCCCCGCATCTCTGGCCTGTACCCCAGCTCTTGTATGCATAAATTTAAAAAAAGGCAAAGCACAACGAATGCGGTATGCCTTCATGGGAGTGATTCCTTTGGGTTTTAGTAAGTTATGCACATCTGGAAAGTGGACTCATATTTATTGATGATGTCTGTACATAACTATTTTTCAGCAAGTATATGAACACTGGAAAATGTGTATTCTTTTCCACGTAAAAACATGCTAGGAACACTCAAACTAGTCAACAAGTGTTTGTTAAGTGCCTGCTATATGCTGGGCACTGTGCTCTACCTACAATTTTTTAAAAACTTACTGTGATCTTTTAGAATGTAAGGGCCTCCCCGGTGGCACAGCGGGTTGAGCACAGTGCTGTGAGGCTGTCCTCAGCCTTTGCAGCGCGGGTCTGATTCCCAGCCGGCCAAGGAGATTCCCACATGGCACAGCAGATCTCTCCTGTCGTGTCCACTGCTCGCCTCGGCAGTGCTTTCGGTCTGTCTGTCTGTTCTGCTCCCTACTCTGTCCCTGGTGAATCCTCTTACCCTCCTGCGCCTCTGGTCTGAGCCCCAGCTAAATAAAAAATAAGTCTTTTTTAAAAAATGTGCTGCCATTAGTTGAATCTCAAATGTATAAGTAGAAAATATGGAACTTTTTATAATATTGAACAGTTACAGAGGAAGCAAAATGGAAAACAGATTACTTAGCTTCTAGTTAAATTATTTCCCAGGCTGTAAATGCATACATCAGCACTGAGGTAGCCAGTATTTTCTGCCACCATCCCATTATACCTCTGCTCCCGAAAGGCCAGGAGTTACAGTCCACATTTGGGACCATTGTACCATTGCTATCCTTTCTTGCTTTAACCTATTATCTTGTGTTGCACAGTTTAAGGGCAAGCTTTAAAGTAGCTCTAAATTAATTAGCCTAATTGCAGGGTAGGAAACATTAGAAATGAAAAGTGTAAGATGATGAACTAGGTGAATTAATATTCAAAGAGTAAAACACAAGTGTTTTTAAGAAACAGGAAATGAGGACCTCCCTGGTGGCACAGCTGGTTGAGCGTGGCGCTATGAAGCTGTCTGCAGCTTTGGCAGCGCCAATTTGATTCCCAGCCAGCCAGGGAGATACCTACATGGCGCAGCAGACCTCTCCTGTCTCACCCACTGTTTCCCTCAGCAGTGTATTTCGGTCAGTCTGCCTATTCTGTTCCCCGCTCTGTCTCTGGTGAATCCTCTCACCCCCTGCACCTCTGGCCTGTACTCCGGTTCTTGTTTAAAATAAATAAAATCGTTAAAAAAAAGAAACAGGAAATTAGATGAAAGAACAGTTTTGAGCTTGAAATTTTTACAAGTTTTGTTTCAAGCTGGAGAACTTAGGTGGGAGATAGATGAAAAGTTTATCACTGGTGACCTTTGGAACTTTCTTATGCATTTGGTTCTGATGCAAAATTTGCATCAAAACTCTTGAAGAAGATAAATAGAAAGAATGAAATGTTGGCAAAGGTGAACTATATACTTTCATTCTTTTCTGAGAAAATAATAAATTGATATCTGTTCTGCAGAGAATTGTGAATTTAAGACATTTGTGCTGTTTGGTATAGTAATTTTTGGGAAATGACCAAAGGAAATGCTTTGAAATACATATAAAACTTTCTCTGTGTAAAAATATTCACCAGCACTTTATAGTTATATAATTGGAACCAATCTAAATGTAAACCCCATGGAATGGTAAAATAAATTACTATATATATATATATATATATATAAATGAAATGCAGCAAGTAGAGGGTGGATAATGCATGAAAGGGCAGAGGAATGATAAGGGATCTGGGGGGGCAGAAGGGGCCCTGAGGGACCAAGTGCAGAAAAAATGGCAGTGTGCACCTAGGTGGGAGGACAGGTAATGTGGTCCTGAGAGAAGGGGAGATGAGAGGGTGGTGTGGTGGGGCTGGGAAGGGGGGGTAGGACAAAGAAGAAGGAGCAAATCCCAAAAGCCATTCTATCATTATGGGGAAAAGGATTTGCTTGTTGCATCATCTGTGGTCACTGCTAAATGGCGCAGAGCAAGGTTTTAAATCCAGATAGACACATTTTGCCATTTTAAAAAAAGATTTATTTATTTATGCATACAAGAGCTGGGGTACAGGTCAGAGGTTGGGGGGGTGGGTGAGAGGATTCACCTGAGACAGAGTGGGGAGCAGAACAGGCGGATCTACTGAAATACACTGCTTAGGGGAGCAGCGGGCCAGTCAGGAGAGGTCCACTGCGTCATGTGGGTAGCTCCCTGGCAAGGGATGGAACTAGTGCTGCAGAAGCTGCGGATAGCTTCATAGGTTGCATCTTAACACCTTCCGCCACCAGGGAGGCCTGCATTTTGCCATTTTAATGGCTTCTTGAAATTTGCCTTAACACCATTTTGGAGAAGACATGGGATATTTGCCTCCATTTCAGTGTGACTTTCCACAATGTCTAGTAGCAGGAGGGCCAGATGGGCGGGGCCGCCAGGAGGCGGTTCCTGCTTGCCCGGCCCCGCCCACCCGCGCCTGGAGCAGCGCCTGTGTCGCGGGCCCTCTGGCCGCGCATGCGCACTCTGCCCGGCCTCCTCCTGGAGCGTTTTCTGGGACCTGGGGTGAGGTCAGTGCACGCAGACCGGGTCTCTTCCGGTAGCAGCAATGTGGGGCGCCATCAGCACTTTGACGTGGGGACCCTATTGGCCTGGAGAGGACAAGGTGAGCCCCAAGTGCGGGGAAGGTGAGGAACATCTCCGGTGGCGGCTGAGGGTGTCCAGTCGGAGGACCCACTGCGGGAAGGGCTGGATGTGGAAAACGGGGGCTTTGGGGAGGGGGGGGAGGGAGTAATTATTGGGCTTGAAGGGGTCCGTGTTCACCCCTGAGAGGCACCCCGATGCATCCGGCCGCTGACTGAAGAGCGCGCGGGGTGCCGTTTGCCCCTTGGCGCTGCATTGATGGTGTTACAGGGCAGCCCCGATACAAAACGGGGTGCCTGACTGTGGGTCCTCACCCGGGCTTAAAAGGACTTATCAATACTCTACTGCAGGCACACACGAAAGGTTAATGAAAGGTTTATTTACAAGGGAAGGGGAAATGAGGAAATGTACAACTCAGGGAGGAAAGTGGGAGACAAAGTTTTAAATGCGTCCTACCCGATCTGCGGATCTGGAATCCCAAATGGCGCTCTGAGAGCTGGCCGCGAGCCAGGAGCCCTGAAGCCAGGAGGCGAGCCAGAGAGCGAGCCCCACAAGGCCCACGTGTTTGGTTTTTATACCCAACCTGGCTGCTTAACTCCACCCTCAGGTCCCAGCCACCCTCCCTCTGGTGGTGACGGGATTTGTCTTTCCCAGTGTCCAGATGGCTTTGGTCTGGAGTGGGGCTGGAGTCCACAAAGCCTGCATGGAGTTTGCTCAGGACATCCTTTCCCCCTAACAATGGCGCTCCTGGGGAGGGTTTTCTGGGCTCCCTGTTCTGGCCCCAATATTGGTCTGGACCTCTTTATTGCTGTGCATTTATAATACGGTTCTGGGAACATGCTGTATGATTTTCTGGGGACCACGCCCCTGCCTCCCTCCGGAGTCTAGCAGGCAGGAGAGCAAAGCCACCTCCCAGACCCCTCTGAGCAGCCCCACCCTGCACCTTCTGGGAAACTGCCCCCGAAGGTGAGGCCATTCTCTTCACCCCACTGTTGGCCCTGGAGGCAGAGAAAGAAGAATTAACAATGGGCTGTCAGCCTGCGTCTCCCCAGGACATTCTTCACAAAGGCAGAGATTAATCAGGCTTTGCCTTCCCCCAGCATCAGCATAAGTTTAGGTTGAGACCAGGTGGAGCAGAAGACCCTCCCTTCCAGAACAATTACACTGTTAATGTCAGTGACTCACCTATAAATGCCAACTCTTGTCCTGGGTTCAGATCCTCACTTGAATTATCTAATAAAATGTCTAACGTTAGTTGAGAGTTTGTTTCAACAGTTTTTTTTTTTTTTTAATAGAGGCATGTTTTATTTATTTATTTATTTTATTTGTTTGTTTGTTTTGTTTATACATGCACTGGGTAGAGTCAGAAGCACGGGAGGGTGAGAGAATTCACCAGAGCCAGAGCAGGGAGCAGAGCAGGCAGAAGGACCGAAGTACACTGCTGAGGGGAGCAGCGGGCGGCAGGAGAGGTCTGCGCGCCATGTGGGACCCTCCTCCGGTGGCCGGGGAGCAGCCAGGGATCGAACTGGCGCCGCAGAGGCCGCGGGCAGCTTCGCAACCCAGCGCTCAACCGCTGCGCCACCGGGGAGGCCCTGTTTCAACAGTTTGAATTTGGACGGAGATTCCTCCAGCTTCACTCTCAAGTGTTTTGACTCCTCTTGGTCCTTTGTGCTCCCTTACGCATTTCAGGGTGGTTAGTTCTGTTTCTGTGAAATATGCCATTGGAACTTTGATTGGGATTGCACCGAATCTGTAGTTTGTTTTGGGAAACATGCACATTTCAATGATACTAATTATTTCAGTCATGAGCACAGAATCTCCACTTATTTGTGTTTTCAATTTCTTTCAACAGTATTTTATAGTTTTTTTTAAGGTTTTATTACTGCTTAACTTTTTTTTTTAAGATTTATTTATTTATGTGTATGAGAACCGGGGCACAGGCCAGAAGTATGGGGAGGTGAGAGGATTCACCAGAGACAGAGCGGGGAACAGAACAGGCAGATCTACTGAAATACACTGCTGAGGGGAGCAGTGGGCGAGTCAGGAGAGATCTGCTGCACCATGTGGGTATCTCCCTGGCCAGGGATTGAACTCGTGCTTCAGTGGCTGTGGATTGCTTCATAAGTTAGGTCTTAACCCCTTGTGCCACCAGGGAAGCCCATTATTTTATAGTTTTTCAGTGGATTTTCTTCTTGGTTAAATGTATTCCCAATATTTTATTCTTTATGATGCAATTGTGTATGGTACTCTTTTCCAAATGACTTTTTAAAAATAGTTATTTATGCATGCAAGAACCTGGGATGTAGGCCAGAGGTGTAGGGAGGTGAGAGGATTCATCTGAAACAGTGGTGATCAGAACAAGCAGATCTGTACTGAAATACACCACCAAGTGTATTTCATAATACTATTAGTACTTGACATTTTTTTCCTATGACCCTTTTTCTCTTCCTTTCCTTTTGATGCTGGTGTCTATAGTTACTGTACAGCTGCTGCTGCCACTTTGCCATGAGTTCTTGTCTCTTGAAGCCTCAAAAAGTAATTCAGACTGTTCAGATAAATAAGCAGAGAAACACAAATCTTGTCTTACAAAGAAGAGTTTTAAGAGAAAGGACAAAGAACAAAGACTCCCAGGTATAAGGTACCTGGAAGGGGCCAAGATGAACCAGTATGGGGTCTTGCTTCAGGAATATATACTTTCTTTCCCTAATTATCTTAAAATTCCAGTGGTCTCTCCCTGATTGGTTTGTTTTCAGGTGGTCTCACATAATCTGCTACTGAGCAGGGATCTTCACATTCCTTGTCTTTCATTGTACTCCTTACTGAATGTCTTGTTGACCTTAGTCCTGGGATGTTTGTTATTCCCACTGGAATTAGTTACATTCCTCTTGATGTCCTTATCTCTTGAGCCTTCCTTAACTCTCCTGAAGTCCCTGCACTGTCCTTGAGGCTGTCTAATTCTCCCTAACTTGCCCTAGGATTCACTTTTTAACACATTTCAATGATACTGTTACAGAACAGGAAGAGGGGCACCCCAGACCCCCAAAACCTGCCTGCTCTAAATAGGTTCTGCCATCCACCGCATCAACAAAACATATGAGACTTTAATGGGAAGGAACTTTAATACAATTAGGAAACAATACAGGAAAGACAAAGATGATAGTTTCTAAATCAAGTACCCAAAGTTACCCGTAGCCTCATGGGTAAAAGTCCATCCAAATGGGATTGGCCCAGAGCAAGGCCCCAAAGCCTGCCACAAGTCTAAAGCATCTTCCAGTGGAGACCCACAGAAAACAATCAGAAACAACCAGACAAGTCTGGAAGAAAAAGAGCAAAATCACAATCAAGACAAAAACCGCCATTGTCACCTCCCCACGGGTCTCTCATCCACATCTGTGTCACCCAGTCCACGACCAAAAGACAAGTGTAGTTTCTTCATGTGTCTCTCGGCTCCATGTGCCTCCTCCAGGTCTCCTTCTGGCTCTCCATCCTGCTTCCTTCCTTCCTCAGTCTCCTCTGCAGCTTCTTCTCTCTCTCAGCTCCACCCTTCTTTTGGGTGGAGCAGGAAACCTGGAACCTCCCCCTTTCCTGGGGACCCCCCTGTTACAATACTAATTATTTCATTCATGAACACAGAATATCTTTCCATGTATTTGTGTTTTCTGAGTTTTGTGTATTTTTGTGTTCTGTAACTTTAATGAATTCATCTTTTCTAACATTTTTGGTGGAGTGAGATAGAGTATTGGAATTTAAAAATCCTAATGATTCTAATACATCCTGGGTCATTGGCAACACCCAAGACATAGTGTCTGTTAATAGAATCTTCCCACAGGGCCTCTTAATAACACATGACTCCTAAAAGGCGCTAAGCTGCACAACATTGAATGGATTGGATCTGGTCAGGGCCGGTCCGCCATAAGGAATTTCATTGTCATCTGTTTTTCTGGAGAGGCATTTGAAAAGTAATTTAGTTTCCAGTTACTTCACATTCACAGAAAACTTAAATAGCGGTACACATGCTCTTTATTTCGATACAGAGATTCCCAGCAACATTGCTTTATGCCATATTTTATTTAATCTGAAACATTTCATTGTGTTTTTATCACAGTATTCCATTGTGTATTTAATCAAAATATTCCAGCGATCCACCACATAGCCCCTGATTAAGTAAATAACTCATCATGGTTTCCATGTTATTATCCAATCCACAGGCACATTTGTGTGAAAATGTCTTGTTCCATCTGATCCACCTTTCTTTTCTGTGACTGTTCCTCATTTTCACAACCTTGATGGATTTAATGTGCACACGTGCCTGCAATGTGGGTGCTCCTTTCTGTTTGCCCTCTTTCACTTAGGTTTTTCATGTCCATGCATTTTTTTTAAACTGTTTGCCTGCACGGATACTTAAAATTTTGTTTCTTCATTCTTAGAGCTGATTCTTGGCATTATTAAACCAAGGGAAAAAAGAAAATATTTTTATGGTGGATTATAATATATCCATGACAAAAACAGGACAGTATTTCAGCTTTAATGTCTGCATTTTGTTTTCCACTTGCCATATTGATATTGCTAAAAAATAAGACACATTTTCAATGTCAGGGCTTTTGCACTGCCAGCTCTCTGTGCTTGGAGTACCCACTGGAGCACTTCATTCCAGTCATTGTCAATTAACTGCCTCCTCAGAGAGACTCACTAGGCCACACTATCTATAATAGTGTTACAGGGCAACCCCGATATAAAACGGGTTGCCTGACTGGGTCCTCACCCATGCGCTTAAAAGGGATTTATTGATACTCAACTGCAGGCACACATAAAAGGTTAATAAAAAGTTTATTTACAAAAGGGGAAAAATGAAGAAATGAATAACTCAGGGAGAAGAAGAGGGAGATAAACTCATGAATGCGTCCTACCCATTCCGCTGACCTGGAATCCCAATGGCACACTGAGAGCTGGTGAAGAGCCAAGAGCCCTGAGACCAAGAGAGAGCCCCAAGGCCCATGTGTCTGGTTTTATACCAAATCTGGC